CAGAGCTGAATTGTGAAGAAAAAAATAAAATAAATATATTTACTTAGAAGTAGAGTTGAGCGAACTTAAACTGAAAAGTTCAGGTTCATACCGAACATTAGGTTTTTTGGACCCCGGACCCGAACACGGACATATCACTGTATGCTCGGATTGGAGTTCGGTGTTCGTCGATTTAATGGCGCATTTTCAAAGGCTGCAGGGCAGCCAGTCAACAAGCGTTTGACTCTTGTGCCCTTAGAAGCCATCACAGCCATGCCTACTAATGGCATGGCTGTGATTGGCCACTGCAGCATGTGACCCAGCCTCTATATATAAGCTGGAGTCGCATAGCGCCGCACGCACATGCGGTCTTATAAGTGTAGGGAGAGGATGCTGCCGCTGATAGGGACAGCTTAGGAAAGAATTCTGCAAACTAGTACATTAGTGGGGTGGGGTGCACTTCATATCTGAGAGTCAAATAGAAGCTTCAAATACCGCGGTTACATCAGAGTTTTAAAAGGTAAATTTGTTTTGGTGCGAAATAGTACATTAGTGGGGTAGTACATTAGTGGGGTGCACTTCATATCTGAGAGTCAAATAGAATCGTCAAATATTGCTGTCACATTGCAGTTTTAAAAGGTAAAAATTTTTGGGTGCTAAAAAGTACATTAGTGGGGTGCACTTCATATCTGAGAGTCAAATAGAAGAGTCTATGGTAAACATTCTAATTGTTTTGCTGCTAAACTGCTAAATAGTACATTTTAGGGCCTGTTCTTCATATCTGAGAGTCAAATCGAAGCATTTAATAGTGTTCTTACTGCGCACTTGTAAAAATTCTAATTGTTTTGCTGCTAATCTGTTAAATAGTACATTTTGGGGCGTGCACTTCATATCTTAGAGTCAAATAGAAGCGTCTAATACTGCGGTTACAGCGCAATTGTAAACATTCTAATTGTTTTGGTGCTCATCTGCTAAAAAGTACATTTTGGGGCCTGCTCTTCATATCTGAGAGTCAAATAGAAGCGTCTAATATTGTGCTTACTGCTCACTTGTAAACATTCTAATTGTTTTGCTGCTAATCTGCTAAATAGTATATTTTGGGGCCTGTTCTTCATATCTGAGAGTCAAATCGAAGCGTCTAATACTGCGCTTACTGCGCACTTGTAAACATTCAAATTGTTTTTCTGCTAATCTGCTAAATAGTACATTTTGGGGCCTGCACTTCATATCTGAGAGTCAAATTGAAGCGTCTAATAGTGTGCTTACTGCTCACTTGTAAACATTCTAATTATTTTGCTGCTAATCTGCTAAATAGTACATTTTGGGGCCTGTTCTTTAAATCTGAAAGTCAAATCGAAGCGTCTGATAGTGTGCTTACTGGTCACTTGTAAACATTCTAATTGTGTTGCTGCTAATCTGCTAAATAGTATATTTTGGGGCCTGTTCTTCATATCTGAGAGTCAAATAGAAGCGTCAAATATTGTGTTTACTGCGCACTTGTAAACATTCAAATTGTTTTTCTGCTAATCTGCTAAATAGTACATTTTGGGGCCTGTTCTTCATATCTGAGAGTCAAATTGAAGCGTCTAATAGTGTGCTTACTGCTCACTTGTAAACATTCTAATTATTTTGCTGCTAATCTGCTAAATAGTACATTTTGGGGCCTGTTCTTTAAATCTGAAAGTCAAATCGAAGCGTCTGATAGTGTGCTTACTGGTCACTTGTAAACATTCTAATTGTGTTGCTGCTAATCTGCTAAATAGTATATTTTGAGGCCTGTTCTTCATATCTGAGAGTCAAATAGAAGCGTCAAATATTGTGCTTACTGCGCACTTGTAAACATTCTAATGGTTTTGCTGCTAATCTGCTAAATAGTACATTTTGGGTACTGTTCTTCATATCTGAGAGTCAAATCGAAGCGTCTAATACTGCGCTTACTGCACACTTGTAAACATTCTAATTGTTTTGCTGCTAATCTGCTAAATAGTACATTTTGGGGCCTGTTCTTCATATCCGAGAGTCAAATCGAAGCGTCTAATAGTGTTCTTACTGCGCACTTGTAAACATTCTAATTGTTTTGCTGCTAATCTGCTAAATAGTATATTTTGGGGCCTGTTCTTCATATCTGAGAGTCAAATAGAAGTGTTTAATAGTGCGCTTACTGCACACTTGTAAACATTCTAATTGTTTTGCTGCTAATCTGCTAAATAGTACATTTTGGGGCCTGTTCTTCATATCTGAGAGTCAAATAGAAGCGTCTGATAGTGCGCTTACTGCACACTTGTAAACATTCTAATTGTTTTGCTGCTAATCTGCTAAATAGTACATTTTGGGGCCTGTTCTTCATATCTGAGAGTCAAATAGAAGCGTCTGATAGTGTGCTTACTGCACACTTGTAAACATTCTAATTGTTTTGCTGCTAATCTGCTAAATAGTACATTTTGGGGCCTGTTCTTCATATCTGAGAGTCAAATCAAAGCGTCTAATAGTGTGCTTACTGCTCACTTGTAAACATTCTAATTGTTTTGCTGCTAATCTGCTAAATAGTATATTTTGGGGCCTGTTCTTCATATCTGAGAGTCAAATAGAAGCGTCTAATAGTGCGCTTACTGCGCACTTGTAAACATTCTAATTGTTTTGCTGCTAATCTGCTAAATAGTACATTTTGGGGCCTGTTCTTCATATCTGAGAGTCAAATAGAAGCGTCTGATAGTGTGCTTACTGCAGTGGTGTATCCTGGTTTTGTGCTGCCCTAGGCAGGACAAAACGCAGGCGCCCCCCCCCCCCGCCTTCTAAATACACACACACACATTCACTGACAGATACGCATACACTCGCTAACAGAAACACACACACACTAACAGACACACTCACACTCACTAACAGACACACACACACTCACAGGCAAACACACTCACACAGTAAGACACACACACACTCACTGACACACTAACAGACAAACATAGTCAGACACACACACTAACAGACACACTCACTCACTAGCAGACACACACACTAACAAACACACACACATTAGCAGACACAAACACACTCACAGGCAAACACACACTCACTGACACACACACACACAGGCAAACACACACTCACTGACACACAGTCAGACATACACACTAACAGACACAGTCAGACACACACACACTAACAAAACACACACACATTAACAGACACACACTCACTCACTCACATTAACACATTTTTTAATTTATTTTTATTTAGCCCCCCCCCCTTACCTTTGGGAGTGCTGGGGGGGAGGGGTTCATTACCTCCCTTGTGGTCCAGTGGATGCCGGCTGGGCTAGGCAGGCGGCTGGCGAGGGAGCTCTTCCCCTGAGCGGTCTGCTCAGCTCCCTCGCGCGCCGCAAAGTGAGGCTGGGAGCCGGAAGATGACGTCATCTTCCGATTCCCAGCCTCACTCTGCGGCGCGCGAGGGAGCTGAGCGGACCGCTCAGGGGAAGAGCTCCCTCGCCAGCCGCCTGCCTAGCGCCGCCCGCCAGCCCAGCCGGTCAGTTAGCCGCGAGGCTAACAAAGCATTTGCTTGGGCATTTGGGGGGCGGCGTTTTTTGCCGCCCCCTGAAAAATGCCGCCCAAGGCAAATGCCTTGTTTGCCTCACGGCTAAAACGCCCCTGGCTTACTGCGCACTTGTAAACATTCTAATGGTTTTGCTGCTAATCTGCTAAATAGTACATTTTGGGGCCTGCCCTTCAAATCTACAAGTCATGCTACAACAAAATTAAACAAGTTTTAAAATATGTAAGGGCCAACCAGTGGCTGTAAACAACAAAGTTTTACTGGTTACATTGATGACTACACACTCTAGTGAACAGGACCTTCATGCAGTGTGTTTTTTTTTTTTTTAAATCATACAGCATCCTTTCATGTGCTTTTCAGATGTCATATTGTGAATTAGCAATTTTTGTGTAGCCTGATTTGAAAAAAAAGTGAAAAATAAGTGTTATTGTGATCGCTTCATATACAGAAGCATTAATATACATTTCTATATTGTGTAAAGACACAACTACAAAGTTAATAACCAAACACCAAAACAACGTGCCAGACAATCTACCAGTGCATGGCTAGTGTGATACAATAAGTCTACATCTTAAAAATGCAATAACCCACAGAAGATAGGCGAGAATTTTTTTGGCAAATGGAACTTTGATTCGAATTTACTACATCGGTCACTTGTAATATTGTTTCACACCTACAACACTTGTTACACAGATCTAAGTGATAGAAAACAGATTGATATTTTCTACACTAGAAACTACTAGATAACAAGCCGCTATATTTAAACCAGTGATCAATAGTTAAGAGGTACTTAAACAATATTGTAATTCTGGGGCAATACCCTCACAAGTCAAACTGAGAGGTCAGTTTATAGGGAAAACCGTTCCTGGATACAATTCTAAAACAATTTCCATATGTCCTTTGCAGACTTTACATGCTGGAAAAACTCAGGTGCCAACTGCTGTGGCTTTCTGCAGTGTGCATACTGGCAAGGAGGGCAGGGTTGAGGAGTGGGTGGAAGATGATGTGGAGGATGATGAGGTCCTAGACCCCACATGGAATTAAGGTCATGCTAGTGACGTGTGCAGTTTGGAGGAAGAGGCGCTGGTCGCACAGAGGCACCAGCACAGCATAAGAGGGAGCAGGGTGCAATAGCGGAGTGGCCGTCCGCTAGCGCTCGTCGGCATGTATTAGCTCGAGAATTACCAGTTATCCAAGTAATACATGTAGCGATCAAAGGATCCATAATAGAATTGAGCGAACCCGAACTGCAAAGTTCGGGTTTGTACCAGATTTAATGATCCATTTGTAGTTTCACAGTGAGGTGGGCAGTCTGGTGAGCAGGACCCAGACACTGTCAGGATGTGTCATTCACTGTAGCGGCTGTGCACGCTTTTGTCGTTGTCACCCTGCTGCTGCTCGCCTGTCTGCGCTGCAGCGTAACGTCGGCTTTCCCGCTCACCGCCTCATGAGACTTTGCGAGCATCAGCAGGCGATAGTGGAGTTTTAGCTGCAGCACGCACGGGTCAGTGGCTCTGCACCAGACTTCCCTCCAATTGATCAGAGTTAAAGGATTTCAAGTGGACTTATTACAATTACAGGGCCTCTAAAGAGTCCTGTATTGTTATTTGTCGTCACTACCTTCCCGCGTCGGGAGTGGGTCATTTGCGCGCCAGCTGCCTTCCTTGCATGTGGTAGCCCTTTCTCAGGGTCCCTGTATGGATTGGAACCCTGATTCCACGTTACCTGTGGTCACCATGGTAGGCGCAGAAACTGGCATCGAAAGTTGATATGGATGACATCCTCATGCAAAGTCGCCGCCACGGGGATGTGCAATTTGCCCGAGGTTCTCTAGAGTCAACAAAGTTCCTGCGCAACTATAATGTCAACAGCTACTCTGTGGAACAGAGTTGTCTTTTTTTTATATGTCCCAATATTTTGGGGGCTACCCCAATTAAAAAAAACAAACAAATCTATGGGTCACTTAGTATAAACTAGGTACAAAATAGCAGAGGCTTGTGAAGGCCTTTTCTCCATGCATCAGGAGTTGAGCATTTCTCCATGCATCAGGACTGCAAGAAATGCACCGCAGGCCGCAAATGTTACTTTATTTGTATGTCCCAATATTTTGTGGGCTACCACAATAAAAAAAAAAACATAAAATACAGTGTTGGCTACCTCATCCTCCTCCTCCACCGCCACAGTCACCGCCTCCTCAACCTATGGGTCACTTAGTATAAACTAGGTACACATTAGCAGAGGCTTGTGAAGGCCTTTTCTCCATGCATCAGGAGTTGAGCATTTCTCCATGCATCAGGACTGCAAGAAATGCACCGCAGGCCGCAAATGTTTCTTTATTTGTATGTCCCAATATTTTGTGGGCTACCACAATTAAAAAAACAAAAAACATAAAATACAGTGTTGGCTACCTCATCCTCCTCCTCCACCGCTGCTTCCTCCTCCACCGCCACGGTCACCACCTCCTCAACCTATGGGTCACTTAGTATAAACTAGGTACACATTAGCAGAGGCTTGTGAAGGCCTTTTCTCCATGCATCAGGAGTTGAGCTCAGTTTGAACAATGAAAGAGAATACCCAGCACTCCAACCCCCTCTCAAATGGATAATTCTGGTGATCCTCCAGACAGCCATGCCTTAGATTTTGATTTATGTTCTTCCAAAGCTGAAATCAAAGATTCCATCTAGTGCTATTTTATGGCTCAGCTGTATTTTACATTTTTATGTTATTTTAAATGATTTCCCTATCCACATTTGTTTGCAGGGCACTTGTCCTACTCTTACCCCCATTTTACTTGCTTTTCCAGCTCTCTAACTCTTTCAAGGATTTTTTTATGGGTCCCCATTGACTTCAATGGGGTTTGGGGTCAAGTTCGAGCCCGAACCCGGACTTTTTCTCAAAGTTCTGCCGAACCTGCCGTAAACGAAAATCCAGGTGTCCGCTCAACTCTACTAAGGAGTACGCTACGATCTAACGTTACTGGCTGATCCACAGTGTTTTCTGACTTTAATCTGGTGTAAAGGTTAGCAAAGTGAGCACAATTTACATTTCCTGAAATATTTCACCTTTGGAAATGTAAGAGAATGTGCCTGACTACTGATGTATTCCCTTCTGGAAACAAGAAATGAGATAGCCAAATGTAAAACCTATTATTTACAAAGAGATACTTTCAATGATTTAGGCAAACAGATTAAATTAGTGTAACCGTTATAAATCCAACACAGCTGAGGTTGCTAGGATGAGAATGGAGGTGGTGGAATGACTGCAGCTATAATATAGACACTCATCTAGAAAATGATATAGTACCTTGAAATGAGAGTTGTCCAAAGACGTCTTATAAGCCAGACGTTCATACATAGTTATTGCTAGATGTTAATAGCACTATAATTGTAATTTCCTCTACAGTATCTATAAATGCAGGCACTTTGTTCCTAATAACAAAACTCATCAGTTGTAATAGAAAAATACAATACAATCTACAAGATGTCAATTCTGGTTCAGTATAAGTATTTGTGGGCTATGTTGTTAGTAGCTAGTAACCTACTAGTAAGCTAGTAGCAGTCTACTAATTATCAACTGGGTTCCAATCTTATCTCTTTTTCTTACCTGCTGATCACCAATGTCTACTCACCTAGATACTTACTACTTGTTGATCAGCCACTTGCTGGTAAAGCACAGATACAATGACAGAGGATTGCCGAAAATTCTAAGTGAATTCAAAGCGAATTTCAAATTTAAGGTAAAAAAAGCCAAACTGAAAACAGTATGGACTTGGAGAGTTTTTCTAATTTGGCTACCTTGGCCTACAATTTGAATAAGTAGACATTCCCACTTTAGTGAGGAACCTTAAACTGGGTAAGTTTTCACCATAGCGTCCACGCCTTGCTGGTTGAAAAGACTCATCTCAAGCATGCGTTCCTAACTCTGTGAATTGCCGAAGGATTAGATAGCGACTAATACAATATATTAAACTGTGATGTTTCAGTAGTAGACTAGATCAGAAGTGTGAAGCATTTTAGCGAGTAGCAGATGGCCTATTAATAGTAGCTACAAGATTAGAAACAAGTCCTTAAAAGGTCAATAAGATGGTAAGAGAGAATCAATAATAATGTCTTGCAAACAAACAAGTATCTTTTTAAATGCCAGACTAAATGGGGCAATTATTATTTATCTGCCATCACAGACTTAAAATTGTGATGACAAAAATACAGTAAAATGGATCATTTTCTCAAGATGGACATGAGGTAGAGAAGCTAAGAAACCAAGAAAGGCAGGGTTTGGGGTATATATCAATATGAGATTAACAGGAGTTCAGAGGCTTCTGCTATACACTGGCTTTGCTATTATCATGGGGAAGGAGAATGACTGGAGGATGAGAGTCTGATGGTTTGTGTAGGTGGCTTGTTTAAATGTCACGCATGATAGTATACTTTACTTGAGAGATACTTGATGTGGGAGGTAGAGTATATGGGAAATTAAGGGTGTTTAAAGTAGCAAGTAAGCATTGAGAATAAGAAAACTTGAAAAAATAAGAAGAGGCAAGAGGTTTTGGTATTTCATCTTGGAGAGCTGAGTACTTTAACAGGAAATACAATAAGTACATTCTACTTGTTACTTAGCTACTACACAAAATATGTAATAAGATAGAGTTACTTAAAAATGGCTTATTTGATTAAATTTGAGTTGACTGTGTATGTTCCCAGATGAACGATCAATTTAGACATTTATTGAAGTGTTTCTAAGTTCTCTGAAACTCTTCATGTTTCTAGTGGACCTTGATTCCTACAGTGTAAAGTTCAGCACATAAGCACAATCCTAATTAAAGGCAATGGTAACTTTGGAGAGCTAAAGGCAAGTTACCCGTGCTCTGTAAATAGCAACATACAGATCACAAACTCAACCCTATTATAGCGGAGATGCACTCTACAACTGGTACATTTTAGAAAGTATTACAGATGTTTCTTCATTATCCTCCATCCTAAAGTGGAGAAAGTGGTTGGATAGTCTTTGGTCTCTTCTCATGTATTATCACCCTTCAATTGACTGACCGTGAGGTGGAGGAACTTGTTGGGTCTCCCTTGGTAAATGACCATCATTGGGATCTTCATTTACTCCTCTTTTCAGTGCTCTCAAAGTTGTTATGGGATCCTGGTTATGATAAAGCCCATCATGGATCGTTTAGGTCAGCCTATTCCAATCTGCACCCCCCCAGATGTTGCTGAACTACAACTTGCATGATTAATTCAATTAAACAGATAGCCAGGGAATCATTGGAGTTGTAGTTCAGCAACATCTGGGGGGAGGCAGGTTGGACAGCCCTGGTTGGTTTGTGAGAGGGTTTTGGTCACTGATAATAGACAGGATCTGTTTTAATTTATTTTTCCTTTAATATTGTCTTTAATTCTGCTTTTGTTCTAGAAACATTGTTGGCAGAAAATGTTGTTTCACAAGAAGATGTATTGTGCTTCTGAGCAGCAATTTCTCAATAACCCCACTGGTGGTAATGAAATTAAATAGCTTGTTAACAAAATGGCGACAATAAAAAAGTTGCTCTGGAAATATACCGATGTGCTTGCGATTGCAACCCCTTTTCTAGAATTGATGTACCGTCTAGGATTATATACTGTAACTCATCAATACATTTTTATTAGTGGACACAATATCAGACTTCTTGTTTCTCATCTTTAGGAATTCAAATGGTTTCACGATATGAACAAAAATCTGCATTCGACTACTTAACAATATTTCAGAGTCTCAACAGAATTTCACAAATTGGATAATTATCAGATCTAACCACAAGAGAAATCAATGACTACTTTTTAAAACGCTTGAAGGGAAAAAAAATCAATCCAATGAGTTTCTAATAAAAGGCTGAGAAAGTAAGAAGCTGGATTTCCAGTTTGGCAAGATAATTATAATAAAGATAAAACACTTATATTATATTTATAGCAGTTAAATGCAATACAGTTATAGGCAATACAATGTTTACTAGAGTCTAATATAATGCATTTTGAGATCCCAATAGTGTAGTTGTAGGGATAATTGGTCTGATATGTGAAATCATAGCAAATTGGGGGAATATCCCCTAAAGAATTTTTGCCTTAGAACTATAAAAAAAAAGCCCTCCTTTGTCATCTGAAAGCAGGTGTAAACTTGTCATTATTCCATTGAATTTGTAGACATTTCATGTTGTTACAGCACCTTCACAACTGCTACTCAACGACCATCATTTTTTCTTTCTCCCTTTAGAATAATTTACTTTGCTACATAAATTTCAAATCAACTTTCAAAATGTTATTTGCGCTGATAAAGCTCATGCACGTCTTGGAGATGGTATGTGGGAGGTTTAAATGTTAGTGGTACCGGTGTTGCAGTTTAAGTCACTAAAGTGAGAATTCAAAGTGAATTTCAAATTTAAAGGGGCATGCATCATTTTGAGGCAATTGTCTAATTCAAAAGCTTTAGCTTTGAATGAGACAGTTGCCTCACTCTGCAGGCTGAATAAATGCATATGATTTGTTTGTTCATATTTACATGCTTCTTCTTTCTTATGTTTTCCCCACCCACTCCAGGGGGAGCATTGCTCTAACCAACCAGTGTCCTATCCCTAGGGATGCTAGAAAAGTGTATTGGGCATGCTAGACAGATATACACGTGTACATTCGGAAGATCTCTTCACCTTGCAACAGCCTGACAGGGGGAGAAAAAAGGAAATATGATCAGTGTGATCATACAGAGCAGGCTCTGGTGTCATGTTTCTCTTTCCTGCTGCTGCAAATGATGCCCTGTTTCTGTCATTAGTGGACTGGTCTGAAACAGGGAAAGAGGGTGGATGAGGCTGAAGAAATTCCCAAAGCTGAGAGGTGTGCTCAACAATGCAATCTAGCTACATTTCTTATAACTATATAAATGCTGATTCCATACCTTTCCAAGTTTTTCTTGCTTTATTTTGGTATGCATATTTATTTAAATTGTTTGCTGGTGTAAAAAATGTTAAGTTCTGCTACTTTGGCCTTAAAGTTTACATTTACTTTGA